ATTGTTTATGCACCGCCTTACGACCAGAGTAGTTGCCAAAGACAGCCCATGGCCTGCAAAGTCCAAAGTACTTACTATCTGGCCCTTTATAGAGAAAGTTTGCCGAGACACTAATTTCGATCTCTGAATGACCATATGGAGGACAGCCACCGTGTTGACCTGAACAACACTATGGTCATTTACTTATGCAAAAAATAAGCTGTTGAAATTCTGGGCCTATTTGCTACCATAGTTTACCCTACTCTCACTAATAATCCTTGCTCAGCAGTCACAGGGTGATTGCCTAACGAATGTATATGGCCCAATTTCCGGTTGTTTGAGCCACTGAGGGTGACTAGTTATGCCCATAGGATTACAAGTCTCTCCTCTACGACCCACCATCAGGCCAAAATTTCCTCCAGATGCTCGAACCAGTCAGTCCTAGGACCTGATTGACACCAGGGAGTCTGACCCCCTAAGTATAACACAGCATCACGGTCCTGGGAAGGTGTAAACATAATACAGTTTCTGCCCATTGAACTGAATGTTAACAGGAAGACGTTCCGCGAAGCAGAAGGAAATGACCTTGGTGATGATGACCCTTGCCAAAGGTAGGTAACCCTTGCCTTGTCACCTACCTGGTGGTCATGATGGCGATCAAGGCTGGCCCTGCTTTCATGTAACTAACTGGCCTTCAATGGTTCACTTTTCCCATTGAGTGACTTTTCAGTTACACACTTTTGTAAACTAGAAGTGCTTTTACTGGCATTTCTTTATGCACTGCTTTATTTTTACCATCATTTTAATTTAAAAAATGCAGTCACACATTTTCCATGCATACCTCTAATTTATGGCAGGCTCTACAGGTCTTGCACTTATGGAAATGGTATAAAGTCTCCTTTTTGAGTGAGCATGTTAAAGTAAAAAGAGTGACTTCATTTAAAGAAAACTGCTCATAGAAGTACAGACGATACGCTGATGAGGCAAAAAACCATGATATTAGTGTGAGAATAACTGAGGTTCCAGAAACACTGCATATGCCTAGGCTGCAGTGGAGAATGTCATAGAATCCTGGATTCATGGAGTGCGGAGCCACGGTGAAGGGTGCGTGAGAGAGCCCCTCCCCCAGAGCCACCCCCTGTCTTTCCACAAGGAATTCCTAAATATCACCCAGTGGATTCTCAGACTTCTGTCTCCCAGTTCAGTGTTCTCCGCCACAAAAGCTACACCTGATCAATCCCATGGTTCAGAGACTAAGCTGAGTGAGGGGCCCAGCAGGACATGGACTTGCTGTGCCCAATGCCTGCTCTAATACGAGCTCTCCATGTTTCTGCTGAGTAAACTGTTGGAGGTGGAGAGGTTTGGGCGAGTCCAGATATGACCACTCTCCCAAGTCCTACCCCCTGCTCAGAAGTTAAGGCCTGTTCCTAGGATTTTACTTTCCACGTCATATAGTTCCTCATGGGAAACCAGAGGGATTCCCCAGGGAAAACAATAACCCCAGCCAACTGTCACTTAAACAAGAGACGTATTGCTTACAGCTGAAGTGATGCAGGGGAGTTACACGTATTAAGCAAAAATGAGATCTATTGTAAGGCTTGGTAGGCTGCGGCTTCACCCATCACAATGTGCAGAGTCATCATGAACCAGAAATGGGCTTCAGAGGCTGCAGCCAGACCCAGGCAAAACCTAGGAGTGGCCAAAAAAGATCTCTGTTTGCAGAATTGGCTGGTGTCACAAGCGGCATGTGATTGAGTAGTGGTTCAGGAGAAGAACTAATCCTTACCTTTTATATTTTGTGAACACAGCACCACAAAATCTTCATCGGCCAAGAGCCAGGGCTGCTTCCCAGGTTGCAAAGGTCAGCTGGCTAGGGCAACAGGGCAGGATGGCTAGCAGGCATGTGCATGTGCACGTGTGTGTGCGTTGTGTGTGTTGTGCTGAGTGAGTGGGACTAGCCTTGCTTTCTACTTAGGAGGACCACCCAGATTGTCCCTTGTGGATACACACAGGGATGCTTTTTATTAGCATGCAGTTTATCAACCAGGTTTCTGTCCTGGATAAAAGTAAGGAAGGAACCCTAAAGCTCAGGTCAACTTTTGTAGAGTCAAACAGCTCTGGGGACTGATTCTCATGCTGTCACAGCATCCTCATTTCCATCACAAAATGCCTCTCACCAGCCTGCACATGGCTAGAATGAGTGCTAATGAGCATCTCTTTTTGAATTTGAGTCTCTAGAAGCTTCATTTCAGCTACAACTCAAGGCCTTGGGCAAGAATCCATCAGCAGCTCAGGGACTGTCGTGTACTTTATGGCTGCTGGTTGCCCAATCTTTCCTGATGTCAATTGAGGTCAGGCCTGGACAAGGGCAGGCTTGCCAAGTGACATTGGGAAAATAGAACATGGCTCCCCAGGTACCTGGTACCTGGCTCTCATCTTTCTCTCTTTTTCTTTCCTTCTTCCTTTCTCTTTCTTTCTTTCCTTCCTTCTTTCCTTCTTTCTTTCCTTCTTTCTTTCTTTCTTTCTTTCTTTCTTTCTTTCTTTCTTTCTTTCTTTCTTTCTCTCTCCTTCTTTCTTTCTTTTCTTCTTTCTTTCTTTCTCTTTCTTTCTTTCTTTCTTTCTTTCTTTCTTTCTTTCTTTCTTTCTTTCTTTCTTTCTTTCCTCTCTCTTCTTTCCTCCTCCTCCTCTTCTTCTTCTTTTTCTTCTTCTTCTCTTCTTCTTTCTTCTCTTCTCCTTCTCCTTCTTCCTTTTTTTCTTCTTCTTTCTTTTTCTTCTTCTTCCTTTCTCCTTCCTCTTGTAGATATAGAGTCTTACTATGTTGCCCAGATTGGTCTTGAACTCCTCTCTCAAGCAATCCTCCCACCTTCGCCTCCCAAAGTGCTAGGACTGTGGAGCAGGAAGGGTTGCCACGGTGCCCAGTCTCCCCTGGCTATTTCTATCCCTTCAGTCATACCATGCTCAGCCTGGGTCAATGAACTGACAAGGCAATTTGCCTTAGATAAGGCTACCAATGAGAATATCTCCCTGATGTATAAAAGCAAGAGAAATGGCTGCCAGCCACACTGTGCTGGAAGGCAGAAGCCTCAAGTTCTGGTTTTGACTTTGCCATTGAGTGGCTGTGTGACCTAAGGCAGTGCCTCCCCATCTCTGGGCCTTAGTTTCTTTTGGGAATAAATAACAGAATTGAGTTGAGCCTATGTATTAGTCTACTTAGGCTGCCAGAACAAAATATCACAAACTGGGTGGCTTAGACAACAGAAATCAATTTAAGATCCTGAGACAGCATTAATCTCACAGGGTTATTTTGAGAACTGAGATCCTGCATACAAAACTCTCGGCATAGTGTTTGCCACACAGTAAGCTCTCAGTAAATATTTGTCAATGAATGTATGAAGAAATAAAAGTGGAAAATGCAAATAAGTAAAAACACTGACAAGATTACAGCCAGGAAATGGCTGTTGTAATTCTAATTAGATATATAGCCTTCCAGTGTTTTCCTATGCAAATAAAGACATATGTTACTACTAAAACGGGACCATATCATACCTGTCAAGATTTTCAAAAAATATTTCATCATTTTATTGAAATGTAAGTCACATACCATTAAGTTTACCTTTTTAAAGTGTACAATCTAGTGTTTTTAGTATATTCCCAAAGTTGTGCTAACATCATCATTATTTAATCCCAGAACATTTTTACCACCGCGAAGATAAAACTCATACCCATTAGCAGTTACTCCTCATTCCCCTCTCTATCCCCTTCCCCCAGCCCTGTCAACCACTTTCGGTCTCCATGGATTTAACCATTCTGGAAATTACATATAAAAAGCATCATACAACATGTGACCTTTTGTGGCTGGCTACTTTCCTTTACCATGATGTTTTCCAGCCTCACCCACATTGTAGCATGTTCTTATGACTGTATGATACGCCTCTGCAAGCATAGACCACACTTTATTTACACATTCATCAGGTCATGGACATGTGGGTTCTGCCCATTTTTTGACTAGGATGAATGACACTGCTCTTTGTGTACCAGTTTTTGTATGGACGTGTTTTCAGTTCTCTTGGTTACACACCTAGGAGGGGAGTTGCTGGGTCATATGGAAACTCTATGTTGAACTTTTTGAGGAACTGTCTACACCACACAACAATTTATAACCTGTTGTTTTCTCCTTCACAACGTATCCTGTCTTCATTGTTAATAAATAGCTGTGCACATCACTATTTTGAGTGAATACATCATATCTCCTTAGCCAGCTATACCAGAGTGTGTTTAGTTAATTCCCTATTGTTGGACATTTAATGATCCCATGAAAGAGGCTTTGAACGACATCCTTGTGTCTCCAGCAGTTTGTAAATGACAGTTTTCCAGGTGTGCTCAGAGCGCTCTGTATTCCCTTAATTTGGTGATATCACATTGCCTTGATATCACCCCTGCTGCTTCTCCACCCCATCTGTCTTGTCTACCAATGGTGAGCCCCCTGAGAAGCTGAACCATGTCTTGAAATAGCCTTTGTATTCATTATATGTGGTCAGGTGCCAAGTATTTTGGTAAATGTTCACAGAGTGGATGGGTACATGGATGGATGGATGATTAGAGCCAGGGACTCTGGGAGGACAAAGTTCATTTTTACGTTTTGTCCAAAAATTCATGCTTTGGAAAGTCGTGAGTTCTCTGATACTGATGGTGTGTAACAGGGGCTGGGCCAGTTGGCAGGATATTGTGAAGCTAATTCAGGCCTCAGAAAGGGGACTAGATGAAATTTAAGATCGCTTCCAAGCTTGAGAGCCTGGAACGCTATGAAACACAAGCTCTGGGAGCTGAGATATGTCCTAACTTACACAGCTGAGCTGTGAGGTGTCAGTGGCTCTAACATTTTCCAAATTTTTTCTGAGGACCTCAGATTAAACCTCCCCTTTGCCTGAAAGCATCTGCCTGCTGGTGCAGGCCTTTGGGGGCCCTCACAGCGCACTGAGGTTAGAGTTCTGCAAGGGAGAAACCCTTATGTAACAAGTAGTTGGGCGAGTTTACAGCTCTCTGTAATCTGAGAGTGTAGTCCAGAGTGGTTTGATGAAAGAGGGTAAACTGTGGGTGGGCGTGGCTTGAGGTCCCAATAGAAGCCCAGGGAAATCTGGGGAAAGGCAGGGCTTTTCTGATATCTCCCAGTTAGAGGATTAGGCAATTGGCATCGCAGGGCTGTGACTCGCGGGTGGGGCTGGGCTCCAGGGCTGGACAGCGCAGTCCCTCCGAGCTGCAGGGAGACCTCGCAGGCCCCGAAAACTGTCGCCCTTCCACGATGTGGCTCCGTGCTCTTGTCCTGGCCACTCTTGCTGCTTTCACGGCTTGGGGTGAGTCCTTCTGAAATCAAATATGCGGGGCACTTTTTGAAATCCTTGTTCTGGGCCGAGGTTTACGCAGATGCATAGAAAGGCAAACACAACAGGTCCGGCTCGGCGGCTGTGCGCGCCCTCCGTACTTGGACTTGGACTTGGAGCAGCTGAGCCTGGCCAGCCCGGTCCGCGCAGAGATGCAGGGAGGGTGAACATCCTGAGACCGCCCTGCACTGCTCCCCCCATGCAGGCCGGCAGCTGGCCCACCTCAGACCTCACACACGAGAAATTTAGGCAGCTCAGTTTACTGTCCCTTAATTAGTGCCGTTATGGCTGAATCACGGAAAGCGGCTCAGCAGAATATTCAGAGCATTGACTCGAGCCAGAGTGCGTGGGTTTGAGTTCCCACTGGGCGCTTCACAGCTGTGTGTCCCTAGGCAAGGGACTGAGCTTTTCCCTGCTTGGGTTACCCCCTCTCTGAAATAGAGGTGGCATTGCTACCTACCTCACTGGGCTTTGGTGAGGAGGAAATGAGTCGTTGTTTCTAAAGCACTCTTGGCAGCCCCTGGTATGTAGAAAGCTCAAAAAAGGGGTGGATAAATAAAGGCTTTGTTTAAAAACGTAGTATATGAATAGAAAATTTGAGCTGTGGTCAGGCCACTATATCAGGACCTCTTGCCATTAAAAAGACAGTTTCTTACTCATGTTCTCAACAGGAGGAGGACACCAGTGGGCGGGGCACAAGGGGAAGCAGCAGAGCATGGGGAGGGGACAGGGCGGATCTCAGGCCAGGGGGCTTTTACTGTGGCTTCCACTGGAAAGAAGCAGCAAGGCAGAGCAGGCAGGCTGAGGACTGGCGAGTTGGGATAATTCAGGAGGCTCTGGGGCACAGGGACTGTTCCTGGTTGTCTGTACCTAATCCTGGCATGATTAGGGCAGGTGGGTAGTGGCCAGGGCGTGGCCACCCGACCAAAGAGGCGGTTGGGGTGTCGGCTCCGGGTTGGCTGGACTCTGGGAGGGACAGTTTCTCCAAGGTCAACAAGGCCTCAGATGCCAGAGCATCAGAATACAGAAAGCAAAAGACATGGTACATACAGGGGTGCAGCGAGGGGCCTCGAAATGCCCCCGTGCCATTTTATAGACGGAGAATCTGAGACTCACACAGGGAAATGTACTTGCCCAAGATCAACCCGAAAATCCTGCCTGGGCCTGTCTCTGGGTCCTGAATCCTGACAGCCCAGGCCCCGTCTGCATCCTGTCTTCCTTCTGGCAGCCTGACAGTGTCAGAGCTCTGGAACTGTGGGGAAGGGCAGAGGAAGAGAGGAATCCTATTTGAAACTGAATGTTCCTTTACCTCTGGTTACTCCTGGCGATGCCATCCATTTCCTTCCTTAGGAAGACCATACAGGCTGCCTTCACTTCCTCAGTTTCCTCCTCTGTATAATGGACATGTTGATGCCTACCCAGCAAGGCTTCTTTGAAGATTAAACAAACTGGAATGCATGCCTGGCTCATAGTAGGTGCCCACCATGTTCATGTTTCATATAACAACAGCGGCAACTGCTCTTGTTCTCATTCTTATTTCTGCTTCCCCCCATTCACCCACTTTTTCACCCTTGGCATTCTGGCTGTCATCCTCCTCATCCCGTTGAATGAATCCCTGAGCTGAGAAAGACCAGCCCAGGGGTTTCTTCTCTGCCTTGGCCTTCCTCCACCTCCCTGAAGCCCTCAGCACTCTTAGCTGGTTCCTCGACCTCTTCTTCCCTGGGCTTCCAGGACACTGGAATGTTCTCTCCTCCCTACACTGATGGATCTTCTGTCCTGGCTGTAGTGGTCCCTGTGTTTGATCTTTGTTCTTTTCCCTTCCCTCTCACACTGACATCTTCGATGAAGTCATACACATCCATGGTGTGTATGCTCACTGTCTAGGAGAAGATTCTGCCCTGCTCCCCCACAAACTTCCAGCCTTGAAGTGCGCTTGTCCGGTGGCATCATCTTGCCATGATACCTCACTGACATCTCCACTGAGCCTGTGTAAACAGGGATCCAGCATCACAAGCCATCTCAGTCTTCTTTCCCTTCCATTTCCCCCACCTCTGGTCAGGGACTGAGTCTTTTTCTTTTCTTTTCTTTTTTCTTTTCTTTTCTTTCCCTCCCTCCCTCACTCCCACTTTCTTTCCTTCCTTCCTTCTTTCCTTAGTTCCTTCCTTCCTTAGTTCCTTCCTTAGTTCGTTCGTTCCTTCCTTCCTTCCTTCCCTCCTTCCCTCTCTTTCTTTCCTTCTTTCTTTTTCTTTCTTTCTCTTTCTTTCTTTCTTTCTTTCTTTCTTTCTTTCTTTCTTTCTTTCTTTCTTTCTTTCTTTCTTTCTTTCTTTCCTTCTTTCCTTCCTTCCTTCCTTCCTTTCTTAGTTCCTTCCTTCCTTGTCTCTCTCCTTCCTTCCTTCCTTCCTTCCTTCCTTCCTTCCTTCCTTCCTTCCTTCCTTCTTTCCTTCCTTCCTTCCTTCCTTCCTTCCTTCCTTCCTTCCTTCCTTCCTTCCTTCCTTCCTTTCTTCCATCCTTCCTTCCTTCCTTCCATCTCACTCTTTCACCCAGACTGGAATTGCAGTTGTGCAATCTCAGCTAACGGCAACCTCTGACTCCTGGGTTCAAGTGATTCTCCTGCTTCAGCTTCCTGAGGAGCCAGGATTACAGGCACATGCTACCATGCCCAGCTATTTTTTGTATTTTCAGTAGAGAGGGGTTTTCACTATGTTGGCCAGGCTGGTCTTGAACTCCTGACCTCAAGTGATCTGCCTGCATTGGCCTCCCAAAGTGCTGCGATTACAGGTGAGCCACTGAGCCTGGTCTCCAAGTCTTTCAAAATACCTTTTAGACATAATCATATTTCTTCATATTTTTTCTTTTTTTATTTAAAAATTTAAAATAATTTAGATGGGGTGGGAGGATTTCAGGTGAAGACCAGAAATCCCATACAGTGCAGAAAACATGGAAATCACCAAGAAAACAGGCCACCTGTAATGCCACCACCCATTGCTGTCGCTAAACATGCTTCCAAGGATGTTCATCTCAGTATTATTTGTAATTAGCAACAACAACAAAAGAGAAGAAGCTAAATATTGACATTACAGGGTTGACTATTGATAAGATGAGCATGGAGTCTGTTGTGTAACTGGGCTTTGCATAAGAGGTTTCCATTGTGATTGGATATTCCCCTTTAAGACCAAATCCGAATTGTTCTGTTCTGTTCTAGCCCCACGCCTTGAGGGAGGTGTTGACGTCTTGTCTGTATCCAAAGCAGAGCAGCTGGGAGGACAAGAGGCTGGAAATGATTTCCTAGGAGGGAAGCTTAGATCAACTGAGGTCACTGGAGCCAGATAGGACCTGAGGGGTGGGCAGCAAGATCAAGTGTCTGAAAGGCCACAAGCTGCAGGCCAGATCAGGCCAGTATAGTCCCATGACAGGTAGAACCAGGACTGATGCAGAGGATGCGGGAAATGAATTTCAGCTCAGTGGGGAAGCAGTGTCTGTGCTGCAAGAACGGAGCAGACCTGCCCAGGGCCACCAGAAGAATCATCCTTGACCTGATCACATCCTTTATCTGGAACGGTTCCTGCTGCTTATTTGTCCACTAAAGAAAACTCAAGTGCTTAGCCTGGCATTCTAGGGCCTCCCTGACATGTGCTCTGTCATTCCAGGAATATTTTCCACTCCCCACACACTCCACCTGGTGCACGTGGGCCAGCCCCCTCTCCCAGACAGGCTCTGCGTTCTGCTGCTCTGAGCCTCAGCACATTCTCTTCCCTCTGCTGTGTACCACCCTCTGCGTCTCATCTCCTCTGATTCAATCCTCCCCTACCGCAAGTCCCAGCTCCTCCATGATGCCCACAATCAGAAGGCCTTGCCCCTCTTCTAATTCCTAGACTGTCTTATGGGTACCTCTCCCAGGACACGGCCACTTCCTTCCCAGCTGTAGGCCCAGGTCTATATGTGACCCTTCCCTATAAGGGTCAGTGCTTCTGAGAATATGGGGCACCCCTTGTTCGTCCTCTCATCCAGCATGCAGCTCAGTGCCAGGATTGTAATGGATAAATGTTTCCAGAGGCTTCTAAGGGGAAAGCTAAATGTCTTGTTCTTTCCTAGTAGCTCTCCTTCTTGCATTTATTTTTGGCTGGATGTTTTTATGCCTCCAATTCTAATTTGCTCCTTAAACCAGCTCGATGAGTTAGGAAGGACATTGATCCTCATCCCTATGGTACATCAACAGAAACTGAGGCCTAGACGGTTTAGGTGACTTATTTAAGATTACTCACTTAGAAAGTGGCAAACCCCACCTGGAATCCAGGTCCAGCCTTTTGCTTCTGATGCATCCTGATTTCTTCTCCATGTCCAGCAGGGCACCCGTCCTCGCCACCTGTGGTGGACACCGTGCATGGCAAAGTGCTGGGGAAGTTCGTCAGCTTAGAAGGATTTGCACAGCCTGTGGCCGTTTTCCTGGGAATCCCTTTTGCCAAGCCCCCTCTTGGACCCCTGAGGTTTACTCCACCGCAGCCTGCAGAGCCATGGAGCTTCGTGAAGAATGCCACCTCTTACCCTCCTATGTAAGCCAGGGATGGCTGTGGCATGTGTCTGTGGGGGATGTTCGCCTCAAAGTGATGCAGGAAGGAGTCAAGGCAGTCCCCCGATGGGTTGATCCTTTGCTCTGGAATCCTTAAGATCATTTTAGATCCTTAAGAACATTCCAGAAGTCTCACAGCATTCTGGAGTCCATTATTTAACACATGTTTATTGAGCTCCTACTGTGTGCCAGGCATGTTCTGGGTTCTTGGGATCCATTAGTGAACAAACCAAAGATCCCTAGGTTCATGGAGCGTGCATTCTAGCAGCGGGAGACAGAGAAGAACAACATGCAAATTACTCCATAGATTATGTGAAATATTAGAACGGGATAAGTGCCTTGGAAACAAAGAAGCACTTAAGCAGGCCAGGGAGATCAGAAGGAAGGATCCCATGAATTCCTCTGTTCTGAATTTTGACACAGTGGGGAGAAGGGAGGGCCAGAAGGTTTGTGGGTGGCAAGTGTACTGAGGTGTCCGCTCGGCAAGTGCTCAACTCTCAAGTGTGCCCAGTTCCGTATTCCTGAGGAGAAGGATGGGAGGTGTGTCCATTCACCCTGGCCAGGCTGGGAAGAAAAGCCCAAAAGTCCATTCACCCTGGCCAAGCTGGGAAGAAAAGCCTAAAGGTTCTAATTGGCCTCACCACCACTCCCCAGGGTACCAAGGACCCTACAGGCATCAGAGTGGACCCCACTCATCTCAGTAGCCAGGCATTCGGAGGCTTTCCAGCAGTCCACCTCTGCCTTCTTTCTTTCCTTTTAAAAAAAATAATATATACTGTTTTTATTTTGTGACTGCAAAAGTAATATATACTTATTATGGAAAATTTAGGAAATTCAGAGAAGGAAAAGTAAGAATATTAAAATCACATACAATATCCCACCACCCAGCGAGAACAACTATCAGTGTTCTAGATGGTAAAGTATTATGATCTAATATTTTGTTTGTATTCCAGTTTTTTGCCTGTTGCTATACTTTCTTCCTTTAAAATGTATGTCATGAGCATCATTCCATCCCATGATATAGCACAGCCTGATGTTAACAGCTGCATTACATTGGGTATTGAACCATAATTAATTTCCCCAAGCTTTTATTTGGGGTTATTAAGTTACATATGATGTTTTTAATAATATAACATCATGAATGTGAAACCTTTATGCACACTCATGAATAGTTTTGGATAACTTCTCAGAAATGACATTTCTGAGTGAAAGAGTATATATCTCTTGTTTGATTTCCCTCCCAAAATATTCCAACTACACTCCTCCCACTGATGTATGAAAATCTCCATTTGGCAGACTCTTGGCAATGCTTGGGGTTATTAAAAATGTTTTGACTATTGGATAGGCAAAATAATAATAACAATAACAGCAATAGTATTTTCCTCTTTAGTTTGTGTTTATCTGAATACCAGTCAAGTTGAGTTCTTTTTCCCTTTCTTCACATTGGAATGTCTTTTGATTATTATTGTTACGCTGCTTGTACTGGGTGTTCTGTAGGAAAATCTCCCAGGATGGAAATCAAGAAGTCATCTTTGCTGGCTCTGATTCTGTCACTTGACAGCTGTGTCATCCAGAGCCTGAGTGCCTCAGTTTCCTCATGTACCTACTGGGGGCGGTGACGCCTGCCTTCCGGTACTTTGAGATCTGGGACTGTGGCTTATAATATACTTGTGTATAAGAACCACATGGCAGGAATCTTCCTGGCTATGTAACCTTGGGTAGGTTCTCTAACCTCTCTGGGCTTCAGTTTTCTCATTTGTAAAATGGAGATAATAGAACCTATGTAATGGGACTGATCTGAGGCTTAAATGAGTTAATATACAAAGGGTACTTAAAACAGTGCCTGGAACACTGGAAGGACTCAATAACTATTACCAGTGTTCATCTATGTTGTATCCTTGAGATCTTTCATCAGGGTAACCAACAGCACTTTCCTGAGAGAGGCAGATGGTAGAATCTTGGCGTGTCAAGGCTCCAAGACCCATGTAGAAATCACTCCCCTCACTTAGACCTGGCAGATTGGGACCCAGAATGGGAAAGGAATTCACCCAAAGTCACCCTGTAAATGCGTGGGAGAGACAAATTAGAGCCCAATCTTTGTTGTCCCACAAAGATTTCCCTCCTCAGCTATCAGGGAAATGTCACCTCCCAGGGAGGATCAGTGTATTTGTTGTCTCCCCTCCTTGATGCTGGGAGTCCCAAATGCTCCGGGAAGGGAAGAGGTGTGAAGCCCTTCTCACTCTGCTTGGTCTTAGGAGACCTCAGTAAATCCCAGCGCCCCCACCTGGAGCCCCTGATAGCCTCCTACTCACTACAGTGTCGTGAGTCTGTAAATATCTAGTCCATTTTCAGGCTTAAATCTCCCAGTCCAAGGCGCTGCCTTAGATGACACCTGGCTTAGATGTGGTTGAACTTCAGGGGTTCTTGTTTCCCCTTCCCCAGGTGCTCCCAAGATGCCGTGGCAGGGCAGGTACTCTCAGAGCTATTTACAAACCGAAAAGAGAACATTCCTCTCAAACTTTCTGAAGACTGTCTTTACCTCAATATTTACACTCCTGCTGACTTGACCAAGAAAAACAGGCTGCCGGTAAGCCTTGGGATCCCCTGGTCAAGATGTGTCAGTTCCAGTACCCCGGATCTTCTAGTATAGATGGGAAGGGGATGAAGGCAGCTTGAGGAGGGAACTGCACCTCAAGGCCAGGACCTCAGGGCCTCCACAGGAAACACAGGCTTTCCACTCCTCAGTTTCCCCTCGTGACACAGGGACTCTGGGGGAGTTTGCTGTGCATCTTTAATGAACATCTTAATTGTTCCAAGTTCCCTCATGCTAATAGAAGGATGAGAATAATTACTTTTAGTTACTAGATGAACAATCTGATACACAGAGTGGGTAAGACATGATTTTCAATAATGTTAGCAGTGGAAGAAACTTAGAGAAAAACCAATACCCCAACTCTTTCTTTTCAGATAGAGAAACTGTGGCCCAGAGGGAAGGGGAGGTCACCCAGTAGGGTAGTTTTGGTTCAAGTCTTCTGATCTTCAAACCAGTGCTTTTGACACGGAGTAGGACATTGAGCTTGTATGTGGCCTTTCTCCAGCACACCAACATTAATCTGGGGTAACTTTCACTGTCCGGGTACGGGCTTTAAGGGAAAAACGTGGGACAAACCCAGAAGCACTTCCTTTTGCCTTTGGCCAAATATCTGGGATTTTTTTCTACCTATTTTCCCTCCCTAATTGTCTTGGCAAAGGCTGATGACCCAGTGAGTCAGCATGTCCCAAATAAGTGAAGGGCAGGAGGTGGGGCAGGCTGCCAGCTGCAGGTTGCAGGATAGGTAGAATCTTCTGGCAAAGGAGGCCACTCCAGGGTGTAAAAACAAGGGGTGTTGTGTCCAGCCAGTCTCCCAGGGGCACCGTGGCATGGTGCCCAGGAGTGGGGGAGCAGGTCTGCGAACGTGGGACTAGAAGTTGTCTCTACATGTGCTTTGTAAGACAGAGGAAGTGGGGAAAAAAGTTTCTTTCTTTCTGTCTTCCTGTCTTCCTGTCTTCCTTCCTTCCTTCCTTCCTTCCTTCCTTCCTTCCTTCCTTCCTTTCTCTCTCTCTCTCTCTCTTTCTTTCTTTCTTTCTTTCTTTCTTTCTTTCTTTCTTTCTTTCTTTCTTTCTTTCTTTCTTTCCTTCTTTTCTTTCTTCTATTGTGTACTCAGTGCCCCATATACACAGTCAGACCCGGTGTTTCAGCAAAAGGAGGAACATGAACCCACTCCACGCAGCCTCTGCCTTCAAATATCTTGCCATCTGGGCTGTAGAGACATATTCTCTCTTCAGTATGTTATTGCAGGCCAGCCTGCGGGCTCAGCCTTCACACAAAGATGGATGCACACTCAGTCCCTCCCCAGGAGGCAGGCAGGGATTAGATGTGTGGGAGAAACAGGGGCTCTGGGAACCTGGAGGCAGGAGAACCTCCAGGAATGGCCACAGGTTCTAGAACTACATGGTCTAGGTTTAAATCCTGATTCTGCCTCTGCTGAGAGACTTGGAAGTTTCTTAACTTCTCTAAGCCTCTGTTTCCTCAAAATGGAAATCATCACATATGATCAGTCAAGGGTGACCACTAAGCTTGATCTCAGTCCCTGGCTAAGTAGGCAGAGGCAGGCTCGTACCCCTACCCTAACAGTGGACTCACTGCTCTGTGGCCGGCGCCTGCAGTATGCTGGGCAGCTCAAAGTGTGGACTCTGGAGCCAGACTGCCTGGGTTAAAGTCCTGCTGCTACCATTTTTGATTTGTAGGACCTTGGGCAGGTTAAGTGCCTCCATTTTCCCACCTGGAGAATGGGACAGAATTAGTACCTACCCAGTGGATAGTTTATTTTACTGTGCTTAGAACAGCACTTGGGACGTAGTTTATGAGTTCTTTTTTATTGTATTAATATTATTATTACAATATTATTATTTTAACCCCTTTCACTTCTTCCCTGCTATGTGGACTTTTATAATGCAAGAACCATGCATGAGGAATTGTTTCCACTCTCATCCTCGGGTATTAGCAGAGTCCCTGGCACATAGTAAGTTCTCAGACAGTGTTAGTCCATTGATTGAAGGCATCCTGAAGTGGGTGGGTTTTAGGCTGCGCTGTGCAGGATGGATAGGATTTGGGAATGCAGAGGCATAGAGGAGGCATTTAAGGAAGAGACACCATCACAGGCATGTGTGCTTCTCGAGACAATCATTCAAGCACAGAGAAGTTTACTTCACCATGAGAGAGTAAACTGAGATGAAGCTGAGATACAAGGGCTCTTCAAGGGTACGCTGAGCTGCATGAACAGTTCAGGCTTGAGGGAGTGAGGGGGAGAACACGACATCCTTAGCCTTTGCTATACCCATGATGATGTTCTCAGCATGAAGAGCCTTGGGAGGAGGAGGCACTGGAGGCTGGATAGAAAGGAAGGGGCAGCCAGGGTATGTGCAGTGGGGTGGTGGCTTGGGCCCCGGTTGGGAGAATTTTGGAGGAGAGAGACTGCCTTTTGCAACCTTGCTGGGCGCTGGTGAACTTTGGATAACATCCTCCTTCAGTTGTGACCAACAGGTAGGTCACCAAACAAGACGCCTTCTGAGTGCTCCCTTGCTCTGCGTCCTGTAACTGGTATGTTCCTTGCCCGCTGCCCAGGTGATGGTGTGGATCCACGGAGGGGGGCTGATGGTGGGTGCAGCATCAACCTATGATGGGCTGGCCCTTGCTGCCCATGAAAACGTGGTGGTGGTGACCATTCAATATCGCCTGGGCATCTGGGGATTCTTCAGGTAAGAAATTAGACTCTCCTCACTGCACTTTGACCCCCAACGTGAGGCTGCTGGGACCCAGCTCTGGTCATGTCAGCCCTCAGGGGACCTTAGCTAGGTTCCATAGTAAGGCATCCAAGCCCCTTCATAATAGTACACTACCTACCCTCTCACTCCCCAGCCACACTCATCCGCTTGCCTCTGAGCTTTTCCATGTTCTGTTCCCTCTGCCTGGAATGCTTACTCTACCTAAAGAACTCCTCTTCATCCTGCAAGACCCAGCCCCCAGTTACCTCCACTGAAAGACTCATCTCTTCTTCACCTATGTTTCTCCAGCACATTGCGTTTCTCTGTCATGACACTTAGCAGGCAGCCCAGCTCTTGAAGGTTGACACATCTGACTTCTCACGGAAAGCAGGGAAGGGGCAGAGTCACAGAGGGAGCTCAGAGCATGTTGTGGGTGAAGGAATGGGGGCTGCAAAAGGTGGGGTTTGGGAGCATCTGACTCCTTCCTGGAGGAGTGTTGGGGTCCTCTCACCCCATGTTCTGCTTGAAATCTGGCAAGTGCAGGAAGCAAGGATGGAGTCTTCCCCATCAGGTCTCCATGGGGACAGGAGTCAGATCTCCTTCAAGGTACAAACTACTATGAACCTTTTCTAAGTGTTACCATCCCAGCACCCCAACCCTAAGCGAGTGTTGGGAGGGCTGTGGGAGGGATTCCACTCACTGATGAGAATATTTGCCTAGGGAGATGGAGGATGGGTTCCGGTCTATCCATGACCAAGGCATCCCAGGTCAGTCTTGGCAGTATCATCTTCATCCCTTTCAGCCACAGCCTGTGTCTCTGCTCGCCATTATGATAAAGCTGCTTCACGATCTCTCTCCACTTCCTCTCCTCCGTGTGTCTCCTCGACCCATGCCAGTCAGGTTTCTTCCTGAACACGCCACTCGGCTGGTCTCATCGCAGTCACCAATGACCTGCCCCTGCTCTCCATCCAACCTCACAGGACCTCCCAGCAGCAGCCAATGGCCGTCAGCCACTGCAACCTGCTTCCTTCCCAGTCCCTTTCCTGTTCCCTCCTCCTCCCTGTCCACAGGCCTCTCTTATCTCCCTCTCCCTCCCTACTAATTCCAGTGATCCCAGGGAGCAGCCCAGAGCCCCTGTTTCCAGCCCATCTCACCTTTGAATCCCGCAGGCATCACTCACTGCCTTCTCCCCACCCCTGGCTGTCTAAAGGGCACCCCACTCTTCCCAGGGACAAGCTGAATCCTTGACTCCCACTGCCTCTCCACAACAGAGACCCCCTGCTCCTCCCACCGCACCTCCACTCAGTTGCTGCTGTCCCATCCTCCCAGGGGCTCAGGAAAAGGCCTCAGGGTAGCCTGGACTCTCTCTTTTCTCACAACCCTCTTGGCTCCACCTTCAGAATCCACTCAGAATCCACTACTTCGCACCTTCTCTCTGGCTCCTTACCCGGTCAAAGCTCTCTGTCTCTCACCTTGATTATGATCCTAACACTTTCAGATTCCTGCCACTTTTATCCTGAGACTATGTCGCACAGTACTGAGAGTGATCACTTAACATGTGTGTTGAATCTTGCAATGCCCCTGCACAAAACCCTGCAGGGGTTCCCATGTTCCCTACGATGACAGCCAAAGTTCTTATCAGGGCCCCAGGGCTCCTCTAGCTGCACCTCCTGACTCACACTTTCCTTCACTGGGCCCCAGGGCCTTTGCACTTGCTTTTTCTTCTGTCTGGAATTCCTTTCTTCGGAGAGTTACAAGGCTCATGTGCTCTTTGTGCTTGTTTTCTGAAGGTCTTTGCCTCCAAAACCTCAAATGCCACTGCCTCCAAAAGGCCTTCCCTGATTGCAATCTGAAATGGCACCCCCTGTGCCACCCCTGTTTTTTTTCTTATTCCTTTGTATTTACCTCAATGCACTTTGACTACCTAACATCATTATATTCTCTCTATACATCTGTTTATCTGCTTGTGATCTGTACTGGGAGCTCTGTGTCATCACAGGTGTTGCCTGTTTTGCTCTCGGATGTGCTCTAGCTCATAGGATGGTGTCAGGCATACAGTAGATGCTCAGTAAATAGTTGCCAGTTGAGTGAATGTAGAACTATACATCACCACAATGCTGTAGGAATAAAGGCAGGGTCTCAGAGATGCTGAAGCCCAGTCTTATTCTTAAAGGCTCCCTGAGAGCCCCCAGCCCCATCTCTAGTCCTGAAGGTCCCGCCATGACATCTCTGCTCCCCACCCTCAACCTGTTCTCTTCCTCACAGCACAGGGGATGAACACAGCCGGGGGAACTGGGGTCACCTGGACCAGCTGGCTGCCCTGCACTGGGTCCAGGACAACATTGCCAGCTTTGGAGGGAACCCAGGCTCTGTGACCATCTTTGGAGAGTCAGCGGGAGGAGAAAGTGTCTCTGTTCTTGTGAGTGCTCCTGGCACCAGGTCCAACCCCATGCTTGATGTGATGCTGATGAGACCTCTTGGATACCTGTCAGTCCAGCTATGGATACCTCTGACTACAATACCTGGATTTGGAACTGACCCTACTCACTGCCTAGCATCAGGGGGTGGAAAGCTAAAGAACAAGCTCTCCTTGACCCCCAGGAAGCTCAGAGCTCAGCTTAGTGTTGCGGGGCCATATGAATCTCCAGTTGCAGCCTGCAATGGTGGCATTCTCCTCTTCTAGCTTGGTTCAGCTCTCTCTCTCTCTCTCTCTCTCCTTCCCACTCATTTTCACATAAGTACTCACATCCCTTCTCTTGGGAAGTAGGGATAGGCATAAATTATGAGTGAGGGCAGGCAAAGACAAGAGGTGGACAGAGCTCATTGTTTAGTTAAAACAGAACTACGCGTGGAGGGGACATGGACACTGAGCAGGCTGGGGATTCCTCTGGGGTGGTCTGATGGCTGGTCCATGCCCAAGAAGGAGGCAACAGTCTCTGTGACTGTTGGGCCTGGTGGGCTAGGGGAGGCGGGCAGAGGAAGGAGGGATGGAGCCGGGGATAGGGAGGGATGGGGCAGGGGTTGTGGGACACAGATGCAACCTGGGGGTATGAGGGGTCCTGCTGGAGTGGGGGATTGGGTGCGGGAGAAACGGGGAGCTGGGGTGAAAAACCAGATGAGAAGTGCCGGGAGCTGTAGGAAGCCTTCCGCCTGCCTCGAAGTGGGCAGAGGGTCAGCCCACTGCTGGAGTCTTCAATCCTGTGTTGGTTTTGTACTTGAATACAAGAGGAAAAATTTTTATACTTTTTAAAGTAGAGAAAAATGAAAAATACAGATAAGCCTAAGAAAGACAAAAAGCCATCTACAATCCCATAACCCGGGGATAGTCACTGTGCTCAGTTTGACATGGATTTTTCTAGTCTTGTTTCCTTGACTTTTTATTTATCTGTCTATCCATCTATCCATCCATCTACCTATCAATGAATCTACCTATCATCTATTATCTATCTTTGTCTTTTTTATTTACAAAAGTACTTTCCTGAATATTATAATACAATGCAACTATTTTACTAAATATTAAGTGCTGTCCCTTAATAGTATCTTTTACAGTTGCACAGTATTCCATGATAAAAATGAAAAACCATTTATTAGCCCAATTGTATAATATTGGAACTGTGAGTTATTTCCAGTGTGTATCATTATAAACAGCAGAGGCATTCTTAGAAATATTCTTGTGCCGCCAGGATCACTTTTTAGGATAAACTCTGATTAATGGAGATGCTGATTCGGAAGTTGTGGCTAGGAGATGCTAAGCTGCCTTTCCAATAAATTTGTTGGTTAGGCTCGGCTGCCACACACCTCCCATTATGTCCCTGCCCTGTGCTCTGTCCCAATCCCGCTGAGGTTCCCTTGGGTGGCCAGGTGGGCGGAGAGCCTGGCAAGCAGGCAGGGCCAGGTGAGGAGCCATTGCATCCACTGAGCCCCAGGGTCTCAGGGGAATGGGTCAGGGCAGAGGTGGGGTAGATGTAGCCTGGAAGAGCGAGCAAGTCACTGACCCCACTCCTGAGCATGAACTCTCCTCCCCTCCACTCTGCTCTCAGGTTTTGTCTCCATTGGCAAAGAACCTCTTCCACCGGGCCATTTCTGAGAGTGGCGTGGCTCTCACTGCTGTTCTGGTGAAGAAAGGTGATGTCAAGCCCTTGGCTGAGGTAGGTCTCCTGGTGGATGCCCCCACCCCCTTGGCTCTATGCTCCTGAATCCTCAGGGGTCTCTCTTGCGGTGGGTTCTAGCTAATGTTCTCCTAGAATCACTTGAGGCATCAGTGGCTGAGCAGGAAGGGCGAGGAGACACCTTGATTAACGTCCCAGTTTCACAACCAAGGAAACCGACACAGGGCTTGGAGGGGGTTTGCCAAGGGCAGCAGGTGATCAGGACAGAGCTGGGAGGCAGTGGGCTGAGATGATGTCTTGTATCTCTCAGGGTCTGAGTTCTGTGGACCCACTTGTGGGCTGTCGGCCTAGAACGGTTCCACACTGAGCGCCTGATAACCAGGGTTGGTTCCTGGAGAATTCACTCATTGTTTCATTTGTTCACACAACAAAACTAGGTGAATAAGTGAAGGCAAGAACAAGAGGTGTGCAGAGGTCATTGTTTGGCTCAAAGCCAGATGTCTGTGTGGAGGAAATGTGGACACTATATGGCCTTATGTGGCTCTGCATTCTAGCCAAACACCTAACAACTCCCCAAGCTTCTGCTATAATGTAGGGAATAGATGAGTAGTTACAGAATCACACAATTACAAAGCGTCACCTATGACAAGAGCAGTGAAGGTGAGGTACTTGCTGCTACAGCAGAATCTAAAGAGAGCAGTGAGTCCCGGGGCGGGAAGAGGTTACCAGAGAAGGCTGCCGGAAAAGTGACCAGTGAGTCAGGAGCAAGGAATGTCCAGGGAGTGGGAGCAGCACATGCGTGTGTCCTGTGGCAGGAGGCCGCATCCCAATCGCGAGGGAGAAACAGAGACAGGGCCGACGGGGCCAGCTCAGGGAGAGCAGGGGGAGCATGGCGAGTACTGAGAGCTGGGATGTTGGCAGGGGTCACACTGCACAGGACCCTGGCAAGGATTTTGTCATTGTCTGGAGAATGATTGGAAGCCAAAGGAAGAGGTGACAAATAGGAATCCAGACCTAGGCTGAGGAGTGCCCATTGGAGCCAGTGGCATGGAGGATTTCAGTAGATGTGAAAGCTTGTTTGAGGACAGCATCCAAATTTAAAAGGCTGGTACATAGGAGAGAAAATGGGGATGTCAAGAATTTTTAGAATTTTTGAGAATTTTTTTTAGAATTCAATGGTTATAAGCAACAGTCGCCCATTGACCCAACTTAAGTCAAGAAGGAGCATTAGCCTGGTGTGGTGGCTCATGCCTGTCATCCCTGCAATTTGGGAGGCCGAGGCAGAAGGATTGCTTGAGCCCAGGAGTTCAAGACCAGCCAGGGCAACAAAGTGAGACCCTGTCTCTACAAAATATCAAAATATTGAGCTGGGCATGGTGGTGCAAGCCTCTGGGCCCATCTACATGGGCGGCTGAAGAGGGAGGATCACCTGAGCCCAGGAGGTCTAGGCTGCAGTGAGCTGTGTTTGCACCATGGCTCTCCAGCCTGGGAAGCAAAGCAAAACCTTGTCTCAAACACTTCTTTATAAATGGAGAATTAATTTTTCAAGGAAATAGAGGTCTGGGATGAGGCTGGGCTTTGTGAAAAAATAGGAAACAGAAATTACAAAATGATGGGAATCGTAGACTCTCTTTTTTCTCTCTCTGTCTGTCTGTCTCTCTCTCTCTGTCTCGCCCTCTACTTCTCCCGTTCCCTGTTTATTTACTCGAGAAACACCCTGGGCATTGATTCTGTCCCAGAACCTGCACCAGACTCTGGCGGCCTGTGCACTTGCTCTGCCTCCCCACCGTGGAGCCTGCCTGCTCTCCCTCTGTGCCCTTCTTTCTGGCTGCACTTTGTTTCCAGTCTGCATGAGCACCCTATCTGCCCCTAAGCTTAAGGACTCTCTTTTGGTTCCAGAAAGTAGTCAGACTGTCTTTTCTGTTGTGAAAAATGAGTGTGTTTACATTAGCAGCTCTCCGCCCCAATTTCAGGTCACTTAGGAGAGAGGCTCGCTGTCCTGTCTTTGTTTCGATGTCCCTGGACTCTTAGAAAAGAAGGAAACCAGAGTGTGCTGGGCAGACTGACTCCAATCCCCAGGACAGGCATAAGGGAGCCTCACTCTCAGGAGGGCTTTTTTTATTTTTACATTTTTTACATATTTTTAAAGATTGAAGGAGTTCTTGGTGCACTAATTTGTGTTGCTCTGTGGCTTGACTTAGGACAAAGGTGAACAGACCATCGCTCATGGTCACATTGGATCTATGCCTGCGTGGCCCTTGAGTTAAGATAGGTTTTTAAATTTTTTTTGATGATTGAAAGGAATCAAAAGAAGAATAATATTTCATGAACCATAAAATTATATGAAATTCAAGTTTCAGTGTCCATAAAGGAAGTTTTCTTTGAACACAGTGGCACCCATTCATTTACCTCATGTCTATGGCTGTGTTTCATGTCAACAGCAGTGTTGAAGTTGCAGCACAGACCACGTGGCCCACAAAGCCTCAAATATTTACTATTTGGCCTTGATGGGCACATTGCTGACCTATGCCTTAAAGAGTTGTGCTTGATTACTGCTTGCGACTCTAGTACACAAATGAGCAGCTGGAAACTCCTGGCTGTGCCACAGACGCCTCACTCAGCTGAGAAACCCCGTCTATGTCTTACAAGGGAAGACATCGTGTTTTTCTTTAGAACTCACCTTTTAAGCACATTCGCTACCTTCTGAAGTGCCTCTGTGTGAATCGTCTTATCTAGGCCTCCTGCAATTCCGCACGTGTTTATTGTGTGGGAGACATGGCACTCTCCCATATGTATTAACTCATGAGGTAGGTGCAGTCTTTATTCCCATCCATGGGTGGAGAAACCAAGGCCCAAAGAAATCAGGTGGACTGCCTGCGGCCTAATGGCTGGTAAGTGGAGCAGCCGGGATTTGAAAGCAGACAAGGAAATTCAGGATTCCATGCTCTCTACCGTAGTTCTACCTCGTCTTTCTTGACACATTCAGCTTGAGATCATTACGTCCATTGCAATGGAGATAAGGTAGCAGAGATGAGAGATTACATAATTGACCCATGTTACAATTGAGACAAGTAACAGAGGCAACACTCTGTGGGATCTGGAACCCACACCCGCGGGTCTACAGTATCTTCTGCTGCCCCCTGCCACTTGTACAAGGTGGGCTTGGGATAGTATGCCACTTTCCACTTTGGTGGAGGGAAGGGAAATAGCTCTTGAACTCTGCTGTTGCCTGTGATCTTTGCAGCAAATTGCTATTGCTGCTGGGTGTCAAACCACCACCTCAGCTGTCATGGTTCACTGCCTGCGACAGAAGACGGAAGAGGAGCTGTTGGAGACAACATTGAAAATGGTAGGTGTGCCTGTTCCCATAGCCCAAACCCTGTAAACTTCGTCCCAGACTTCTTCATTTTAGCTCTACTCTTGCCCTGGGACAGTTACCTGGGACAGTGTCTCACCTTTCAGGAGCCTCAGTATCTGAATGGGGAATCTGATTTGTCCTTTTTTAGTGTAAAATGCCACACATGTAAAAAAAAAGTCCAAAAACAACATGATAAAAAATTGTGTAACAATCCTCAATCTTGACCAAAATTTATTATTTTGCCATTCTTGTTTTCACACTTATCGTTAAGAAATTAAATGTCATATATTCCCAGGGGACACCATCATTCTGAATTTGGGGGATGGAGATATTAAGCTCAAAGATTTTCAGAAAGATGTCACGATTTATCTGGGTTGACTTAGAAACTGTCTGTATTAGACCTGGTGGTGGTCCAGTTTTCTAGATTTTCTGAGACTCTACCTCAGTTTTCATCCTAGGATAGTCATCTGTCCACCCATTTGTTAATCCATGTACTATGATCTTCTTATCCATCTACCTGTTCACTAATCCATCCAATTAACTCATATCTTTTTATCGATCTAATGTCCACCTATTCATAACTTTGTATTTATCTATTTTCAATCCATCCACCATCCATGGATCATCCAGTCACCTTATATCTTCACTCCATCACCCATTCCTCCCCAACAATCCAGTTATCACCTATCCGCTAGTTTTCACCCATCTATTCATGTAGCCATCCAATTCATGTGAACCTCATATATTGACCAACTCCATCCATCCCTCCATTGATCCATCCATCCATCCATGCTCAGTATGTAGGGGTGGGTGTTAGTGGTAGCGAAACAGACATGAAGTGGACATAGTCCCTGCTCACAAGGATCTATCCAAAGAGAAACACATTCGTATACTTCACAGGTTGAGTATGGTGGCAGCACAGAGGGGAAGCATTCATTATAGTCATCAGGGATGCTTCACAGGGAAGGTGGAGGAGCCAGGTTTGAGACTAGACAGTGGAATTTGGGAGTTCATGCCCTTAACCCTGACTCCACCTTATCTTTCTTGAGAAATTCAGCTTTGAGATCATTGTGCCCATTTTAATAGAGGTAAAAAAAAGGATGAATTTTGTAATTGGCCCAGGTTACAGTTCAAATTAGTCACAGAAGCAACACTGTGGGATCTACAACCCACACCTGCAGGTCTAGAGTATCTTCTGCTGGCCCTGCTATCCTCACATATTAGGACTTGTGGACCTTTAGGACTGATGGATGGCCATGGCAGTCTCTCATCACAGGGAAGCCCAGCAGGACAAACACCCAGATGACACAGCACCCAGGGACACTGCAAACTATTGCCTTTGAGGGAGAAGGGTGTAAATTCCAAGCTCAGGAGTGGCCTGATCCCTGGACTCTCTCCTTGGACCTGAGGCTACTCCTGGGTCTCAGGGCCAGCCTCTACCACTGGACTCTACTTGTGTTTCCATGGGTTGAGTCCAGTGTGGTCTTGGGGCTTAGGTCTTGGCTCAGGCTCTAAGTGACCAAAGTGCTCAAGGAATTAAAACACACCTGTTTTCTCATGCCTGGAAGGAGGCGAATATTCCAGCAATTCTGCATGTGGCATCAGAGGACTCAGGTTAAAAGGCAAGAGTTGAGTCTTTGGGAAAACCCATCCCTAAGATCCTGGAACATCCTTTTGAGTTTTTCTGAGATCTTGTGGAAGCGCCTCCATGATTACCCACTGCCTCCTGTACACACACATGCACACACACACACATAGACACACACACAGACACACACACACAAACACACACACACACACACACACTCCTGACTAGTGGGACTACAATCCTTAATGAAGGGAGCTGCACTGGTTACATCCTGAGCAGAGGTCTGACCTGTGAACTACAGGGCAACATTACAGTCACTGCAATGTTGGTGAACACACACCAAAGAGAAGCGTGGGGTAGGATGAGACTCAGTGAGCTTATATGAGTCAGGGCTCTCTAATGGGAGATGAGGAGACTCTCCCAAGTGCCTTGAACAGAAAAAGAAATGTGTTGTAATAGCATCGTCTTGTAAACTGGAAATCTCAGGAGTTGATGGCTTCAGGCATGGCTGGATCCAGATGATCACAGGATATTATTGAGAATCTACCATTCTCTATCCTTCAGCTTTGCACATCTGTGTTGGCTTCACTCTTAGGCAGATATGTCTCCTGGAAAGTTTAAAGACAGCATCCTCTCTGCTTAAAAACCCTTTCTTTTTTTATTTATTTTTATTTTTTATTTATTTATTTTATTTTGTTTTTTGTTGTATGATATATGTTTATTTTTTAACGTTAGTCCATCATCCATTCCTACTCTGGTAAAAGTTACTACTTCCATTTTTTATTTTATTATTTTATTTTTTTAAATTATACTTTAAGTTCTAGGGTACATGTACACAACGTGCAGGCTTGTTACATATGTATACATGTGCCATGGTGGTGTGCTGCACCCATTAACTCGTCATTTACATTAGGTATATCTCCTAATGCTATCCCTCCCCTCTCCCCCCTCCCCACAATAGGACCCGGTGTGTGATGTTCCCCTTCCTGTGTTGAAGTGATCTCATTGTTCAATTCCCACCTATAAGTGAGAACATGCGGTATTTGGTTTTCTGTTCTTGCAATAGTTTGCTGAGAATGATGGTTTCCAGTTGCATCCATGTCCCTACAATGGACACGAACTCATCCTTTTTTATGGCTGCATAGTATTCCATGGTGTATATGTGCCACAGTTTCTTAATCCAGTCTGTCACAGATGGACATTTGGGTTGATTCCAAGTCTTTGCTATTGTGAATAGTGCCGCATTAAACATAGGTGTGCATGTGTCTTTATAGCAGCATGACTTATAATCCTTTGGGTATATCCCCAGTAATGGGATGGCTGGGTCAAATGGTATTTCTAGTTCTAGATCGTTGAGGAATCGCCACACTGTTTTCCACAATGGTTCAACTAGTTTACAGTGCCACCAACAGTGTAAAAGTGTTCCTATTTCTCCACATCCTCTCCAGCACTTGTTGTTTCCTGACTTTTTAATGATTGCCATTCTAACTGGTGTGAGATGGTATCTCATTGTGGTTTTGATTTGCATTTCTCTGATGGCAAGTGATGATGGGCATTTTTTCTTGTGTCTGTTGGCTGTATGAATGTCTTCTTTTGAGAACTGTCTGTTCATATCCTTTGCCCACTTTTTGATGGGGTTGTTTGTTTTTTTCTTGTAAATTTGATTGAGTTCTTTATAGGTTCTGGATATTAGCCCTTTGTCAGATGAGTAGATTGCAAAAATTTTCTCCCATTCTATAGGTTGCCTGTTCTCTCTGATGGTAGTTTCTTTTGCTGTGCACAAGCTCTTTAGTTTAATTAGATCCCATTTGTCAATTTTGGTTTTTGTTGCCGTTGCTTTGGGTGTTTTAGACATGAAGTCCTTGCCCATGCCAATGTCCTGAATGGTATTACCTAGGTTTTCTTCTAGGGTTTTTATGGTTTTAGGTCTAACATTTAAGTCTCTAATCCATCTTGAATTAATTTACGTATAAGGAGTAAGGAAAGGATTCAGTTTCAGCTTTCTACTTATGGCTACAATTTTCCCAGCACCATTTATTAAATAGGGAATCCTTTCCTCATTTCTTGTTTTTGTTAGGTTTGCCAAAGATCAGATGGCTGTAGATGTGTGGTATTATTTCTGAGGGCTCTGTTCTGTTCCATTGGTCTATATCTCTGTTTTGGTACCAGTACCATGCTGTTTTGGCTACTGTAGCTTTGTAGTATAGTTTGAAGTCAGGTAGCGTGATGCCTTCAGCTTTGTTCTTTTGGCTTCAGATTGTCTTGGCAATGTAGGGTCATTTTTGGTTCCATATGAACTTTAAAGCAGTTTTCTCCAATTCTGTGACGAAAGTCATTGGTAGCTTAATGGAGATGGCATTGAATCTATAATAAAAGAGGACACAAACAAATGGAAGAATATACCATGCTCATGGATAGGAAGAATCAATATTGTGAAAATGGCCATACTGCCCAAGGTAATTTATAAAAACCCTCTTTCTAAACAATTCCTGCACAAATTTTGGGGTAAACTCTATTGGATTGACACGGGTGTATGTCCATTCCTGAGCTAATATTCATGTTCAGAGAGATGGAGCACACCAGGTGGCATATAGATGTATGAATTCATGGAGTGATGGGGGAAGAAGGAGGTCTCCGAAGGAGAATTGCATGTTCTTCCCAGGGGAAGAGGAAGGGGAGAGCGATTGGGGGCTGGGCAGCCACAACCAGTGGGCGTCCTCTCCAGAGTTCCATCAACTCTGGCTCAGAGTCCCTGGCCTGTCCTTCCCATGCGGATGCCCAACCTTCCCTGCTATGCCTTCACCCTGTGCTCGGGCTCAGCGGAGCCAGAGTCCTGCCCACTTCTGTTGACCCAGTCACTCAGCTCAGTGTTCTCCTGGGAAGCCTCTAACCCATATACTCTGCCTTTGTTTTCACAGAAATTCTTCTCTCTGGATTTACATGGAGACCCCAGAGAGGTAAGGACCTTTTGTTTCTTGATTACAGGTTTTGAGTCTTAGCACCTTTAAGCTCCAATTAACTGTGAGTGAAAGAATCCTCTCTTGGGTAATTATAGTAACTCCTGTGTGTTTGTTGCTGAGGCCCAGAGAGGGGCAGTGACTCACCTGGGTAACACAGCCAGGAGGACAAGCGGCAGGCCTGGAACCCATTTTCCTGACTCCCAGTACAGTGCTCCTGGCATCACCTCTGCATGGAATGGACGCTGCCCACTCCACTTCTTTTTTACATTGTCTGCTCCTCAAAATGGCACTATGGGAGGAGGCTGAACCAGAACCTTCCACTATCAGGAAGCAGAGATAGCAGGGATGATTAGGCATGGAGAGGGGAAGCCTGAATCTCAGTCCAAGGACACTCGCCTCCTCCCAGCACACAGGAAACTCCAACATATCCTCCCGATCTCCTCACCCCCACCCCCACCTCCCAGTGGGTTGACTGTTTCTGGTGACATCACCTCTGCAGCATCTTACAATCCTGTCCTCTATGCTGCCTCCCTGGAAGTCACAGCACTGTCCTTAAATGGTCTTGGGAGGAGTACATGAGATTCGTTCAGCAAAGACTTAATAAACACTTCATATGTGCCAGGACTTGTTTAGGAGCTGGGGATAAAGGAGTGAAACAAGAAAGATTCCCTGCCCTCTTGGGACCCTCCATTACAGTGCAGGGAGAGTGCAATAGAAAAGCAAATCAGGTGTGTATTCTGTTTGATGGTGTGCAGCATTAGTTTGTGGGGGGTTTCAATTGAAGTAGCAGGATCAGGGAATGGGTCAGTGAGAAGGTGGCATTTGAGCCAAGCTCTGGAGAAGGCGGGAAGTCAGCTGTCAGGAAACCTGGAGAAGCCTATTTCAGACAGAGGGAAAGGCCACTGCAAAGACCCTGATGGAAGTGGCCAGTCTGGATGGAGAGGACCGAGTGTGCAGACAGGCTGGCCTGATGCTGAAGAGGTAATGGGCAGTGGGAGAGGGATCATTTAAAGTATTTGGATTTGGATTCTGAGCAAGATGGAAAGCCTTTGGAGGTTTTGCACAGACGAGTCACATGATCTTAGATCTCACAAAGGTCTCTGCCTCTGGTGTTCAAATAGACTGTAGGAAAGGGGCAGAGTGGATGCAGTTGACCAGCTGGGCGGCCTCTGTGTTGCCATAATACAGGCAAGGGTTCCTGGCTGCTTAGACAGAGCTGTGGCAGTGGGGATGGGAGGAGTGGTTGGAGTCTGGATATCTTGGAAGGAAAAACTGAGAGGATTTGCTGATGGACAGGATGCAGCAGGTGAGAAAGAGAGGGGAGTGGAAGATGCCCTGAGTTTTCTGACACATGCAAGGTCATGCCCGCACAGGGCAGCTACTTGAAAACTCTGAGTGGACAGCGGCAATCACTTGTCAATGTTGCTGATGGGAGTCTTCTGCATGGCTGCCGTCCAACTGGGGTGCTCCTGTCTCTCTCCTCGTTTATCCTCTTCTACTTCAGCTTCCCTCCCCATTTCCACGTCTTTTGGTGCAGCCTGACTCGCCTTCCTTAACAGAGTTAGAGTATGTCACCCCCACTTCTTAAAAGCCTGGCCTTCCTTATGAGACAAATCCCCTTCCCTCCATGGAGTTAGTCCTTCAAAACACAACTGCATGCGCACTGTGTGCCAGACTGTGCAGAAGGCAGGCTCTGCACCTGTCCGTCCCTCTAGACCCTGCCCCACCGCATCCCTCCAAGCCCAGGATTCTAGGGCGTTTCTGGAATTGACCCTGCCCAGTGACACCTGCAATCTTTTGCTCATGCGATTCCCACTGTTTAGAAATTCTCACTCCTTTCCTCACCTGTCAATACAATTCACTGCCCAGAGCCCACCGCAGGCGGGTGGCGCCTCCTCCACGTAGCCTGCCCTGCACCTTCCTTCCAGAGGGGCTGCTCCTCTTGCTGTCCTCCCAGAGCAGGCCTTCTTGGACAGCCTCTCAAAGAGGCAAAACTTGCACCCCAATCCTGTTCCGTATTGTCAGCCATTTTGGATTAGGATCTGCACCTTGTCCAGCTGGGTCTGGTCCACTTCACAAAATATCTCCCCCAGGCAGCCTGAACTGGCTCATCATTCATTGATTTTTGTAGAGCAGACCAAAGGTCCTGGAAGCCATAGGGTCTCAAAGGCTAAGAATTGTCCAGTTCCATCTGATCTCCAGGAGGGAAATACAGCCCATGGGGCGTGGAACTGGGAAGATGGCACAGAGGATTGGGGTCTAGGAGAGGGACCCACAGCAACCCTGCTAACAAGTAATACCTAACATTCATTCAGCTCTTCCAGACACCAGGTGCTGTGCTAAGTATTTCACATGTGTTCAGCCATTTAATCCTCACAATAACTCACCTCTTAGATGAGAAAACTGAGGCCCAAACAGGTGAAACTCCCAGCCAGTAAGTAGCAGAGCCAGGCTTCAGATCCAGTTCATCTGCTTTCAATGTCCATGCTCTATCTTACCAACTACACCATTGTGACTAAATATGAATTATGAAAATATAACTGTACCCAGAACCAGCTGCCCTGATGGCAACACGTGAGTCGGGCTCTCTCTAATCTGTGACAATATAAAAATTATTCATCAAAGGTAAAACCTAAAATTAAGACATGGATCAATATACTGTGAGTTCATCACTGATTCTTTTCTTCATGATTTTCTCTCTAATAGGGAATCAAGTCTTAGTCTAGGCTCCTTGAGTGATGACGATTCAGTACCTCCTCAAAGCCACCCATGGATCAATAACAGCTCTTGTTTAAATTCAGATAGATAGCACCATCTCTCCTCATTAATCATGGATTCTGCGTTTATAAATTCACCTGCTTGCTAAAATGTCCTTGTAACCCCAAAATCGATACTGGTGGCACTTTCATGGTCACACACAGGTAGGCAAAGAGCAGAGGAAGCTGGATTTGCATGATGGGCACGTTCCATCTGAGATCCGGTGAGGCCACCTCTGTCTTCTCGTTTCATCTCTCATGCTAACAAGTGTCCTCTTCACGGTCTATTTAGTGCCATGTGTTCTGCATTTTTGTGCTTTTTGTGGTGATGTCACTGTTTAGAGTGGCTCCAAGAGTAGCGCGGCTGTCTGGCATTCCTGAGCTAAGCAGGCTGTGCTGTGCCTTACGGGGAAGGTGCCTGTGTGAGACAAGCTTGGGTGAGGCAGGAGCTGCAGTGCTGCTGGCCATGCATTCGGTGTTGAAAAATCCACAAAATAGCACGTGCAGAAAAAGGAGAAAGAAATTGGCCAATTCATACAAAAGGCTGTGATGGAAAGGGCTAAAGTAACACCTCTTGTGTGAGACGGAGCTGTGGAAGTGTCTTTCAACAGAAACCCACACATAAAAGAAGGTTGATGAAAATGTTGTGGCCAGAGGTTTGCAAGAACCTAACACATTATTTCCCCTTGAGTGATGACTCTGTATTCTCTAATTCAGCACTCATGGGAGCTTTATCGGAAGCAACTGCCGGGGCTACCGAAAATCAGCTGTGGACAGAGAGAGGGAAATGCATGCACTTCAAATTGAAATATATAAACATGTAATTTTATATAGATAATACATATATTTCAACCTGAGTGAAGATTTCTTCCTCTTCTCATCACCTAACCAGTGTCAGTCTCTGCCTGAAGTTCTACCCCTGAGTCACAGAGACCTACCCCCTTAAGTTAGGACCCTGAGCACGTGCAGCCATGGCCCATAGTCTCGCCGGTGTGTGGTACTGGTCTCACCCTCAGACAGGCAGAGTTGGGGACATGGGTGTGACCAGGGAGGGAATCACAGGCACTGCACTTTTGTCTCCCAGAGTCACCCTTTCTTGGGCACCGTGATTGATGGGCTGCTGCTGCCGAAAACACCTGAAGAACTTCAAGCTGAAAGGAAGTTCAACACTGTCCCCTACATGGTCGGATTTAACAAGCAGGAGTTTGGCTGGATTATTCCAATGGTGAGAATGTGCAGGCTTCTTGGAAGGACTCACCCACCCCCATCAGCCCTCCTGTCTCTGGTCCCAGCAGTGCTTCCCTCTCTGAGCTTCACTCTGAGTCCTGGGCAGCTGTCCCCTTCAGCAGGAGTTACCATTTCCATGGAAACCTTCTCCAGGAGGGCACAGGGGCCACCTGGGTATCAGGACCCTGGGATTCCCTCTCCCTAGATTCTCTGATTGTCTTCCTATTGAAGAATCCTGAAGTGTCTGTTCTGGGAGGGCCAGTAGAGAAAATAACTGTGCAGATGGGAAAACTGAGGGGGCCTAGGAGTGGGAAGGAGCTGAGGAGTACAGAGAGGCAGTCAGTCAGGGGCTTCCTGGCTTCCCACCTCGGGCTGCCTATGCGTAGTTCCCCCGAAAATCACTCGTGCTCTTCATCATCTCATTGGAAATATTCAAAGAAAGTGGCTTCTTCTTGAGTTACTATTGACTTCTAGGGAATAGTAGACATCAGGGTCTACTTGAGAGTGCAGGGTCAGAGGAAGATGAGGATGGAAAAGCCACCTAATCGGGTGCCATGATAAATACCTGGTGATAAAATAATCTATGCAGCAAACTCCAGAGACCCAAATTACTCATGATCAAACCTGCACAGGTACCCCCAAACCTAAAATAAAAGATGGAAACAAATAAATGGAAAAAGTGATTGACTTCTAGAAGTAAAGAAGGGTTCTCCTTCCAGTTGAAGATAAACAAAGCTGACCCTGGTTAAAGTTGTAGGACGGGTTTATTCAGTAACATGATTGCAATAGGGAAAACAGTCCAGCATGGACTGGACTCACATCCCCGAAACAGAAGCCTGGCAATGTTTCATAGGCCAGGTGTGCCAAGGGAAACACACTGTGGTCTGTGGGGAGGGGCTTGGTCCATGTGGCTAGGCCACCTGGATATCTTCATCCTGGCTCACCTGGGGCAGAAACAAACTTCTCTTATCTTCAGAACAGGAAGCCATGCGTTAGACTGCAGGAAGCTTCCATTGAAGTCAGCCTCTACTCCTTCCACAGGGACTGGGAAGATCAGGAGTGAGCTCCCTGAATGTTTGCATTGCAAAGAGAAGGCTCTCAGGTCCTCCGGGAAACAGGGTTGGGTGGTAGATTCACATCCCAAAGGGCAGAGAAAGGGTTTATGATTGCAGGCTTTCTAAAGTAACTGCTCTAGTTGGGTTCAGGGGCCTGTCTGCTTCTCTCCAGGTTTTGGTTGGAGCAGAGTAAATTGTCCTGGCAGGGTTTAGCCTTCCCAGGCAGGTATGTTAAGGATACTGGGGTCATTCTAGGGACACAGCCTTAAGCTGCTATAAGCGATGCTAGAGTTTGGTCTGAGTGCAGAGGTTTGGGAAGAAATGTTATGTGCATAGAGATGTGCAGTTCGCCCCTCAGAAGGATTTCAGAAGTTCTACCAAAGACCAAAGCCACGAAGGCAGGATCTAAGGCTTTCAGTGTCATCTGTGACACATGGCAGTACTTGGGAGGTCTACATTCTCTTCTCCAGAGTCCTCCATTCCACACAGGCCTGGCAGAAACCTTGGCTCTCCATGTCACTGACCACTGTAGGGATCCCAGCCAAACACACACGCGCGCGCTCACACACACACACACACACACACACACACACACTGCAAAATACTGCCACAGCTTCTCCTAAAAGAAAAAAAAAGTTTGGTAATCTTTGCAATGCTTGAATTTCTGGATGTAAGCCCATTTGATTAATTGATTTTGCCCATTTCAGTAAAGACCCATGCCCTTAAAATCCCATCAAATTAGAGGACTTTCAGTCTGCATTGGTTTGGTCGGTTGGTAAGTTTGTTTCTTCTCATTAATTCCCAATGATTCATACATGGTTAACTTTTTTTTTTTTTTTTTTAAACAGTTGATGGGCTATCCACTCTCTGAAGGGAAACTGGACCAGAAGACAGCCATGTCACTCTTGTGGAAGTCCTATCCCCTTGTTGTAAGAGTCTAAGAATCATGGGAATTGGCTGAGACGCAGAGAGGGACAATGACTTGCCACAAATCGTGGAGCAATTAAATGGCAGAATGAAGACTGGGCCTCAGGTTTCCCCCATCTTTCTATCCTTCCCACTTCACTTTTCACCCTAGCAGGGAGTTGCACAGGGCTCGTGAGATTCACCATTGAGGCAGCCCTTCCTGGTGGGCTGGAGAAGCTGCATCACTCACCAGGGGGTTGTGGTCACTTTATTGATCTATTTCAGTACATTGCTAAGGAACTGATTCCAGAAGCCACTGAGAAATACTTAGGAGGAACAAATGACCCTGTCAAAAAGAAAGACCTGTTCCTGGACTTGTTAGCAGATGTGATGTTTTCTTTCCCATCTGTGATTGTGGCCCGGCACCACAGAGGTGAGTCCCAGAGGTCGAACAGGGGAGGGACATGGACCCCACCAGCTTCTGTATCTGACCCACCTACCTCCCAGCATAGACAGACCTGGAACCAGCCAAGGGTCAGACTTCAAAGGCTGATTCCATATAGCATGGTGTGAGGTGCTGTCTGATTTTGGTTTTTGTCAGCAACAGACTGTGAGAAAAGAAAATCCAGAGGCAAGTGGTTCTTTAAGTTGATGATCCCAGATAACCTCTGTAGGGAGGTGGGGAAGTGAGCGAGGAAAGAGATGGAATCCAATCCATATGCATTGCCAAGCGAGTATCCACTGTGGACAACTGGAGCTGGGAAACTCAAGTAAACAAGGACAATACAGTGCTCAGGGGCATCCCATCTGAGTGGCAAGGGAGCTGCGGTATTTATCCACCAGCTTCCACTTGTCATTGTTTGAAGGCTCTTGGAAGGAGTTGTTTATTCCCTGTGACTTTGACCTGCTGCACACAGGGCAGAGTAGTCTCTTGTGACCAGACAAAGGCCTCAGGCCGGGAGCTACAGATGCTGAAGGTGGAAGTCAGGCTGGCATGATCAGGAATTGGGAATATGGGTGAGACATTGACAGCATCTGCTGCCAGGGTTCCATGCCTGGAGTGATCGTGGGACATCGGGCTGCTGTAGGACAAATATTGAAAGATAAGTCGTGGAAGGTTTTTAAGGTCCAAGCCGGCTGCAAACAAGTTTGTTAAGTATTGGAGCTGGATAAAAAGTGGGAGCCCTGCATGGGATCCAGAAGATTGTCCAGGACCAAGAAGTCCAAAGGGAGGAGCCAGGGTGTGTGTCGGGGAGGTGGTCTGGAGAATGGCAATGTCTGAGGCTGGCTTTTGTACATCTCAGTGTGTGCAGTAATGGGCAAGCACAGGGCCAGGGCAGGGTCTATACAGGACCTTCTACCACTGACCCAAGGCTGTGTGGGTGGGGCGTGAGGTTAGGGATGCGCGGGCTCACCTAGAGAGGAGTGTCCTTTCCTGGGTGCCAACCAGAGGAGGCTCACAGGATTCTTTTTCTTTCAGCTGTCATTCGCCTAGTCTGCAAGCCAGGAAATGTCCTCTCTCGAACCATGCTGGAAGGGTTTTTAAATTCGGAACTTAATAAGCATGATAAAAACTAGCTAACGCTGATCTAGCAGGTGCCTAGACACTCGTTTGCACAGGAGGGGGCAGGTGCTCATAACCCTCATTTATTCACAGGGTCCTGATAAAACCATTTAACGAAAACCACTGAAGTTGAATCTGTTCTTTCTTAAACTTGGCCTTGCCCCATGCTGTGCGTCTGATCTATATATAGTGTTTCCATCTCCATCTTCTGATGGTTTGAGCAATACGGAGCCTCTGTTTTCCATCTGATTTCCCATGACTTTGAGTTCAGGTTTTTTTTTTTTCCCAGGACTACACAGATTTTATCAACTTTCCCCTATTGTCGTGTCTCATTCCTTTTGATAAAAATAACATTTCTGAATATAAAATTAACGTGTAAAATTATAGAAAGTTTCAAAAATATGGAAACACAGAAGGAAGGAACTAGGTATCACTCATAATTCCACTACCTGGAGGCAAGTGGTATAAATTTTTTGTGTTTTCATCTAAAGATTTTCCATGTCCTATACACTTTAAGAATCAATTTTATATTTTACTTTTGTTCATACAACACTATGTTGTGAGGATTTTCTGAATGTTGATATAAACTCATCAAAGCATTCCTTCTTCCATGGAATGGCTGCATTAAATTGACTTTAATATTCCTATCCTATTATGCATTTAGCCTGGCTGCCCACACTCTGATGCTACAATAACATTGTGCTCAGCCTAATGTTCGTAAGTCTCTAACCACATGTCTAACAATTTTCTTTGGATTGTTTCTAGAAGTGAATAACTAGGCTGGGCAATAGAAACATTTTAGAACTCTGGGCAAATACTGCAAAATTGCATCCATTGCATAAGAATGTGAATTTCATAATTTTCCTTCTCATTTGGGATGCTAGGGTTAAATATTAACATAAGCTGCCAGTTTCATAAACCTTCCCCACCAACAAGAAGCACATCAGCCTGTTTTAATCTGCATGTCTTTCATGACTAGCCCTCTCATTGTCTCTGCTTCTCTTATTGTGCCAAATTGTCATTACCCATATCTGTGCCCTACTTTCCTCTGAAGACTTGTGTTGTGATTGTAAGAATTGTATAAATATCAATGGCTTTAACCAAAGAGTTTTACAAAGTACATTTTGGGCAGCATGCTGCCTATAATAAGTTCTCTCATTCCCAAAAGCTCTTTCTTCTATGGTTGGCTCTGAGTTTCTTTGGAAAATGTTCAAGGGGCAAAGGCGAGGTCAAACCCTCCCTTTAGCAAGTTTTGCTTGACCTTGAGGCAGCCATTTAACAGGTGGATTACAGAGTCACAGAAGGATGGCATCATCCCAAGCACATTTCCTGCTGAGCCGAGGGTGCAGTGAAGGAGACTGACAAAGATGAGTGAATAGATTCTTCTTCATTCTCACATTGAAATGACATGTGCGGGTGGGGCATGAGGTTAGGGATGGGTGAGCTCCTATTGTTAAATCCTTTTGTGGATGAATATTTAAGGATGTTAAGAAATGATGGTTGGAGGTGGTGGCTTATGCCAATACTCTCAGCACTTTGGGAGGCTGAGGTGGGAGGATTGTGAGGGCCTAGGATTTCAATACCAGCTTGGGCAACATAGTGAGATCCTGTTTATACAAACACATTTAAAAAGGAAATAATTATACTAAAAAATACCGTATATAATATATGGTATATATACACTATAAAATACCATATATAATATCATCCCAAGTTTATATACGTGAAAGAGAGATATGCTAAAATAAAAAAGAAGCATTCTCTGAGTGGTAGAGTTATGAGTGATATTTTAAATTTGATTGTTAAAATTCATTTTTAAATGATATAGGATACGGAAAAATTTTAGAAGGAATTACAAAAAATACAGCCCTTGCCTCAGGTAGTGGAATTATGAGTGACATCTAGTTTTGCTTTATGGGTTTCCATATTTTTGTCTCTTCTAATTATTCCTAGTTGTTTTTGTTTTATTTTCCAAATTTCTTACTGTACCCAAAGGGGAAGACGTTGTAAATTTTCTCCACCAGCCTGGCATTGCCCTGACTCTTTCCTTCTTAGTGTCACTTCTCAATGGGTATCATGACCAGTGCAAAGTGCTGAGGCACAGGGCCGGGCGGCCCGCGAGATAGCCCTGAAGGGGCAGCGGTGTGTGGCTCCAATGAGCCAATCATTGGGAAACTGGCCACTTCTTGGGGCTGGGACAGGAGAGCTTTGTTGCTGGGATAGGAGGGCAGAGCAGAAGGAGAGAGGACAGGGGAGAGGCAAGGTCACCCTTGCTCAACCCCCTCTTTTCTCTGCCAGGACTTTAATGCCTTAACACCCTAACACTCCCTGGCCAGGCAGGCAGCAAGACACATGGGGACAGTGAGATATAAAGCAGTGAGCGCCACAAATTCCTGAGACACAAGAGGCAGATTGTTCCCTCTCTGCGTATGTTTGTATTTAAATAGCCTCACATTCAGACACGCAACTTGGATTTGCTTCAGTCTTCTCAGGATGGGTGAGAAAAACACTGGAAATGCTCAAAATGATGCAAAACAGAAGACACCTGTCAGGATGGAGATGGCGTCCAAGTGAATGAATGCGAGACTGTTATCAGTGAATTGCATCCAGTGTAACCAGATGTAGAGAGATTTTCTTCTGTGAGAATTCATCAGCAGGCAAAGGGGTTTATGAGGCTGAATCAGTGTCCCTGCATTGGCAGTTATTTTAAATGAATTGACCCAGGGTCTCCACATTCATTCATTAAACATTTGTTCATTGAACAAATATCTGGCTCAAATTCCAGTTCCACATCAACTAGCTATGCAGCCCGGAGCACGTCACTGAGCTTTCCTGTGACTCTGTTTCTCTACTGTGCTGACAACCCGAGGTTTCCTGCAGAGCTGGAGACCTTGGTAGCCTCCAGGTGTGTGTCGGGCAGCATGAACTGAGCATGAATCTTTGCCTTCTCAGATGCTGGAGCGCCCACCTACATGTATGAGTTTCAGTATCGTCCAAGCTTCTCATCAGACATGAAACCCAAGACGGTGATAGGAGACCACGGGGATGAGCTCTTCTCTGTCTTTGGGGCTCCATTTTTAAAAGGTAATGGCTCCTTGCTGTCCGTGAGCTTGGAGTTAGGAGACCTGGGTTCCAGTATTGGTGTGGTGGGCTTCAGCAAGTTTCTCCTCTTGTAGTCTTAGTTTCCTGATTCTCCTAACAGGGTTGAACATCATTGGGTAGTCCCTGGGCTTCCTCCTGCTCTAACACACCTGAGGGAAGATGTGTATTCAGGTGGCCTCTGCACAGACACTCAGAATCCTGGGCTGTGTCATCAACAAGATAGGTGGTGGGACACATGCAGGGCCCTGCTCTAGGTTGAGAAGCCACTGATCAATTTCCCTCTCCCAGGAGTGCTGAGAATGTGACTGAGGATGAGGTTAGAATTGGTGTTAACCCTGAGTCAGGTCTAATGTGTGTCTGTTTGTCTTTCTGTCTGTCTCTAACAAAAACTCATAAACCTTTAAATTTAATACATTTAATAATTATTAATTTAGAAATCACAGGATGCATGAATTTGGAATAGGAGAGGAGACTTTATTTTTGATATGCTTTATAGGCAGCAAGGTGGCCATCCTGCAGGCTGGGAAGGTGCCTCTGGCCAAGCCCAGACATAGGCTCATTGATCGAGGAGGGGTTGGGTAAGAGCTTTATGTGAATGGATTTGCTAAACACACATGTTCAACAGGTTACAGGGGGAGCAATGGATATTCATGAAGACAATCCTGACACATGTGTATTAAACAAACATGCATGTAAAATAGCCCATGTTCACCAGGTAGTGGAGACCTAATATTTAAATATATTATAATTAGGGCCTATAAGTCCAAAGATCTTCTCAGGACATAAAGCCCAGCAAGTGAGCAGCCTCTGTACACCGGCCAGGTCCAGTGCATGGTTGGTGATGTTCTTATCTGGAGAAAGTTACTGAAATCAGTCTCTTATGCAATCAAAGCCATAGTTAAGACTGGAGGGTCAGGGTTCTGTTTGTCTGCGTATCCCAGCTGCAGCCATTGTAATTGTTTTCATTTTGCTTAAGTCCAAGCCAATGCTTGTTTGGCAGCTAGAGAAACAGAAGCACCTCATGGCAGTGAGAACAGAGTGGATTCTTTAAGGGGAGAGATATAGGCCAGAACCCTTGCCCTACGTGGCCTTAGGTCTTGTTTTTAATTTGGTGTCTTATTGCCACAAAGAGAGTGTTCTGTCAGAATGAAGACCTTTATTTTAATGCTTATGCTGGTCAGTGGTGTCTAAACCACAAAAGAGACGGAGTATTATGAGGCGTGTCTGACCTCCTGTCTGTTCCCAGGCAGGAACACAGTTGAAGGATTTTCTGGGCTCCCCTTAGCCCAGAGAGGGTCTGTTCAGTCAGCTGGGGCTGTTAGGATTTTATTTTTAGTGTACATTATACAATATTTTAAAAAGTCCTCTCACAGTGTCTTCTAAACCTTAACTCTCAGCAGTTACAGATCACATGGGACTCACCCTATGGCTGCTCAGAACGCACCAGCGCCTCTGGGCATCTCACTGTACATGCTTAGGAGCCTTGCGGTTCTGTTGTATTTCAGAATGTGAATTGTGGGTGTGTGCTGGGGAGTCAGAAAAGACCCAAGAGAGAGCAACCCTGGGAGGTGGGGCTGCCATAGAGGAAACCCTGGGGTGTGGCATTGCCTGTGACCCTGAGCAGGGAGGAGGCAGGTGAGGGTCACAGGAGACAAAGGCAGCCAGCACATGGAATGGCGCATGCCCATTGCTGAGCCCTCAGTCAGATATACTCAAAGGTAAAGTACACACAAATGCACCAGGATCTTCTAGAACTGCAGACCTCAGCTCAGTGGGTGTGGAGCATTCGCCAAGACTATGTTTCTAGCAGGCTCGCACATTATGTTGATGCTGCAGGTCTGCGGACCACACTTTGAGTCACAAAGGCTTTTTTTCTTCTTCCCCACAGAGGGTGCCTCTGAAGAGGAGATCAGACTCAGCAAGATGGTGATGAAATTCTGGGCCAACTTTGCTCGCAATGGGTGAGGCTCTTGGCAAAGACAAAGCAGGACTGGTGAAGGTGGGCAGGGGTGGGGTGGGGTGGGGCATGCCTACTGGGAAGGGGCAGCTTCTAAGGTTCTAGTGGGATCAAACTCCTGACACTGTGACCATAGCACTCTGACAATGAGAACTCTCTACAAATGGAGAGGCCACTCCCGGAGATAGTCAGCTCCCCATCTCAGGAGGTATACAAGCCTCTTGACAGAGATAACTTGGGCATCCTCGCACATCTCAGAAGATTGTTGGGAACACACAGCAGCTGTGGGGCAATTCTATTTGATTCTGTTTCCAGAAACCCCAATGGGGAAGGGCTGCCCCGCTGGCCAGAGTACAACCAGGAGGAAGGGTACCTGCAGATTGGTGCCAACACCCAGGCGGCCCAGAAGCTGAAGGACAAGGAAGTGGCTTTCTGGACCACACTCTTTGCCAAGAAGGCAGTGGAGAAGCCACCCCAGACAGAACACATTGAGCTGTGAATGGAAGATCCAGCCAGCCTCGGGGGCCTGGAAGAGCAAAGACTGGGGTATCTTGTGAAAGGGATTGCAGGTTCAGAAGGCATCTTACCGTGGCTGGGGAATTGTCTGGTGGTGAGGGGCAGGGAACAGAGGCCATGAAGAAGGAAGTTTTGTATTTGTGACCTCAGCTTTGGGAATAAAGTATCTTTTGAAGGCCAAATTAGTGTTTGTGTCTCATACTGGAGGTTAATCAATTGTCCTCAGAGACAGAATAATGCTGAAATAGGCAATGTGAGAAGGAAGGTGGCTCTGCTGGGGATGACCAGGCCTAAGGATGAGCAGAGCCCAGAGGGTTGGGCCATGGATGGTGCTCAGGGGAACTCGGCCTTTTGCGTATTTCTGGGCCCCCAACAATTTCCAACAATAAGAGTTGGGATGGCCAGAGTGTAGCATCCAGATCCTCTGTTTGGAGCTGTGTGTGGAAATGGAAGTGGCCCAGGCTGAGAATGTGCCTGGATCTGGGAAGAGGGAGACATGCTGAGGTGATCCTGTGGCACTGTTGCATGGCATTTGCTGATGCTTGCACAGGCCTACAACACCTTTCTGAGTATGTGCACTAGCCTCTCAAAACCCCCCATGAGGCTGAGTCTTTCAACAACTGGTCTAAACTCCTTCTGTAGCCTGGACCACTTCTGGTGTGGGCAGTGACTACCTTGGAGTAAGTCTCCAGAGGGTCATCCTAATACTGTGTCTTTCAGAATCCCACAGGTGATTTCTGGATTCTGTTAGTATGTAGAAAGCTCTAAAGCATGTCATTACCACCTTATCAGCAAGAGGAAGCTGGATTGTCCTCAAAATCATAACTTTCCTGTACCAAGGAGCTGAAGTTGCAAGGCACATGGTTCCCTTGAAATGGAAGGGAAGACAAGCACTAAGGGGGAGTGGTGGGATGTGAACACTGGCTTACTTCTCACCTGCAGGTAGGAGACGGGGTGACCATCATGAGTGGAAATACTCTGTGAATTTTAATCAGTGCTGAAGGCCAAGTGTGGTCCACTGTGAGAGTATAAAATCTCTAGGAACCATGGACCCATGAGGAGGTTGACTCCCATTATAGACTCTACTCCATGGGTATCTATCAGGGCCCATGAGAAAGATTAGGGTAGATAGTAAGACTGGAGAAAATCTGCCTTCAGGAATGTAGGCATGAGCCCTGCTCACACCCTTCACCCCTAAAGAACAAAATCCTTCAACCATTGCAGAATGGCCAACAAATCTTGTCCTCCTCAAGGTACTTGTAGACACATACTGAGTTTGAAGATAAGAAATCTTTTAAAACTCTGTAGCCCTGGGAGAGGGACAGGGAGTCATCTTGGGCGCAGATTATTGGTCTTTTATTGCTGGGGATGGTCAATATCTCTGAAAAGCTCCATCTCCAACAGCAAGAAATGAAGGTCCTACATAAGGTGGAGGCTGGATCACGACAAGAGAAGGCATTCCTGGCTGCTACCATGGAGTTAGCAAGTCCTAGGTAACAGAAATGTACTGCTGGGGGAGAGAGCAAAGCATGCAGAGCAACCCTCTGGTAAAAGCAGGTGAACAGAAAGGGCCTAAAGCTGAGAGTGGAACAAGACATTAGGAAAATCCTTCAGAAAACCAGCCCTTACACAAGTGCACTAGAACCAGCACAAGGTAGCACTGGAAGCATTTGAAGCAGATGGTGCATTCAAGATAGCCATAGCAACAACAAAACTATTCTCTGATCACCATACTTGAAACACACACACACACACACACACACACACACACAAAATCAGTGTAGCAGCAGAAGAAAAGATATGTCCATTTCCTGTCACGGATACTACTTACTTCAGTTTCAACTCACTTACCCATGATGTCAAGTATTGAATTCAAAATCACAAACCTTATAAAGGAAGCAAAACCTATTAACAAGAGACAAAGCAGTTGGGCACAGTGATGCATGCCTGTAGTCCCAGCTACTTAGGAGGCTGATGTAGGAGGATTGCTTGAACCTGTGAGTTCAAGGCTGTAGTTCACTGTAATTGCACCTATGAACAACCATCTGCACCATAGCCATGGTAATATGGTGAAATAGAATCTCTTAGAGTGAGAGAGAGAGACAAACAAAGCAATCAACAGAACCAGATTCAGAGATAACCTAGGTGTTAGACTAACAGACTGGGATTTTAAAAAAACTACGTGGAATACTTCCATGAACATATGGGTAGTTTCAGCAGAGAGGTAGAAACTATGAGAAAGAAGCAAATAGAAATGTTAGAGATGAAAAAGAAAAATAGTAACAGAAATTATAAATGCCTCTAATGGATTCATCAGTAGATCTGACACAGCTAAGGAATGAATGAGTTCAGCTGAAGACAGGTCAATAAAAATTACCCAACTTAAAACGAGAAAAATCAGTGGAAAAAAAAAAAACCCAGGGAATCAAAGAACTGAGAGATAATATCTAATAGTCCAACATATGCATAACTGGAATCCCAGAAAGAGAAGACAGATCAAGCAGAAGAAAATATTTGAAAAGATAATGGCTGAGAATTTTCCAAAACTAAAGAAAAACATCAACGCACAGTCCAAGAGCTTGGAAATCCCCAAGCGGGATTCAACAACAATACCAACAACAACAACGACAGCAACAACAACATACACATTTAGACACACACTGAGAAAATATTGACGGCAGCCAGAGGAAAAAGACATTGCATACAAAAAAAGGGATTAGAGCAGACTTCTCATTGGAAACTGTGCAAGCCAAAAAATAATGGAGTGACATGTTTAAAGTATTCAAAGGAAAGAAATCTTTCAGAATTCTACATCCAGCAAAAGCACTTCTGAAAAAATACAAAGAAAAATGTTTTCAGATGAACAATAGAGAGAATTTATAATTACATACTTGTGCTACCAAAAATATAAAAGGAAATTCTTCATGCAGAAGTTATATGATACAGACAACAACTTAGGGCGATGATCATGGGAACCCTCAGCTGGTAGGCAGTTCCTCAGAAGCACAGGTTAGTGCAGGACAGGCCTCCCTCTTTTCTCACTTGCAGTTCTCAAAAATAAATGTAGAATGTGCTAGGATGCAACGTCCTGACATGGGGGGACACGGAGGGACTGGCCATCACAGCCCCGGCTCTGTCCAGTCCCTCCCCGGGAACAAGATGTTCTTCAACACTCTAGCCCAGCATGTTATGGTTCCCCCAAAGTATGAAACCCTGGGTGGGCTGTCTTCACAGCCCCGCAGCTGCAGTACAAGCAGGGCATGCGCAGCTAAGATTCCATCTACCCCAGGCAGCCTTCTGTTGTCCATTGCTGCCTATGCGTTTGGGTGGGAGTTTCCCAACTCTTATTCCTCCGTCAAACTGAGATTGAATGCCTTCTTGCTACAAGTAAAAACACAGCTTCATAGCTTTGTTGGACGTCGGGTTGTTGTGTCACACTGGATCCAAACAGGCTGATAACAGGCCTGTGGTGAACCTGCATCACAGTTACAACCTGGGACTTGCGACTGGTCTCTGACATGGGGGCATTCTTGTGGGACTGAGCCCTTAAGTTGTGGGATCTGGCACTGTCTCCAGGCAGATGGTGTCAGATGGGACTGCATTAGGGGATGCTCAGGGGGCGTGCACTGGAGAATTGGTGTGTGGGAAAAGCCCACATCTGGTGTCAGAGGTGAAGTACTGAGGTTGGCGGAGCGTGGAGAGGAAAAACAGTTGGGTTTTTAAGTTCGTGAGTTTTAGACTGGTCCAGGGAAGAGGAAAGAGATGGACCCTTTGCAGAAAAATGCTAGGTAGATGGAGTTTGCTGAACACTTCTGACATGCCAGGTACTGGATCGGATTTGTGTTAGAGGCTGGGGAGGACCCTGAGCCAGAAGGCATTTAATCTCAGTTTGAAAGAAGAATAAGATTTGGAAACTCCCACCCGAACAGCCCATGCGTGATGACGACTGTAGAGACTGAAAGAGCCAAGAGACGAGGCTTGATGCTGTCCCTGGATGTGTCAGTCAAGGCGTCCGCACCACTATCTGGGGACATTGCTGGGAGCCTGGGCCTGAGGTTGTGGTTCTGACTCTGCCCTGGAAGCAGGGTGGCTATCTGACACTGCCCACAAGGGGGCACCAGAGACTCGCTGCCAAATGGGCGCCCTTGGCCAGAATGAGGACCCTGCAATTAGAAACCAGGACAGGCCCAGACAGGGATTTCAAACACTGCTGTGGGTGAGAAGGCAGTACTGCTTGGCACCTAAAGACTCAGACTCTAGATCCAGGCTGCGCAGCTTCATATTCCAGCATTGTGACCAGGGCCGGCTGGTTTCCTGGGCCTGAGGCCTGTGCTGTCACAGGGCCCTGCTGTCAGGAGGGCTGTCTGTGGCTTTAATGCTGTGCTCCTGCTGTCCTGAAATTCTTCAGAATTGTTAGAATGAGCATCCTGTATTCTTTGTGTGTGTTTGTTTGCCCAGCAAATTCCACAGCAGGTCCTGTCTGTCACTTTCCAGCCCAGTTTTCTTGGGCCTCGTGGTGACGTTCACGTGGTTGATACCAAGTGAACTGCTCCTAGGGTTTCTGTGAAGACTCTCTGAGTTACAATGGAGAGTATTTTATCATCAAACACATAATAACTATGCAGTGAGTTTTACTTACTGACTTTTACTTACTTCTATTACTGCTATTATTCTCTCTTCCTTCCTTCCTTCCTTCCTTCCTTCCTTCCTTCCTTCCTTCTTTCCTTCCTTCTCTCTTTTCTTTTCTTTTCTTTTCTTTTCTTTTCTTTTCTTTCCTTTTCTGAAGTTTTGCTCTTGTCGCCCAGGCTGGAGTGCAGTGGCGCAATCTTGGCTCACTGCCACCTCCACCTCCCCGGTTCAAGTGATTCTCCTGCCTCAGCCTCCCAACTAGCTGGGATTACAGGCATCCGTCACCACACCTGGCTAATTTTTGTATTTTTAGTAGACATGGGGTTTCAGCATATTGGCCAGGTTGGTCTCGAACTCCTGACCTCAGGTGATCCGCCCACCTTGGCCTCCCAAAGTCTGGGATTACAGGTGTGAGCCACCACGCCTGGCCTATTACTGCTATTATTATAGAGTTCAAGGGTACCATGGACTGTTCAACAAAGGCCAATGTGCACTTCCCTGGGTACAGATCCATCTGCTGGGCAGCTCTCAGTCCATCCACCAGGTCGCATTG